GCCAGCCCTATGCCCGCCCCAATGACGCAGCAGCCGAGGCAGCCGCCTGCGCTCCACGAGCAGCCACGAACCCAGCTGAGGGAGGGAAGGATGGACGGATCGATCGAGAAGCGGCTCCTCGGCCCTCAGCGATGGAGGAGCAGCAGGCGGCTGCCCTCGGGCTGGGTTGCTGCGTCTCCCCCGCCACGCGCGCGCACGGACCCGGCCTCGGCTTCCTGGCAGGCGTCCCCCCATAACTCCGGCCACCCACTTACTCCGGCCCAAGGGAGGCTTCCGTCGGGTTTTCAGCACTCCCTCCTCGCCTGCCTCGTCCCCCGCCCCCACATCACGTCCAGCGATCCCGGGCTCAAGACTGGCGTCCGGGCACTCGCCCCCTTTCCTCCGGGTCACGTAGGGCCCTTCCCCACGACGCGAAAGCTACGACCCGGGCTTCCGATCTCCGGGCAACGTGCCAAGCCTCCTCTGCTGCGCGTCGTCGCCCCCCACGCAGCCTGAGGCCCCCGGAGCGGCGGGGCTTACCTCGGCCGCTGGCCTTGATGAACTGGACGGCCGTGTCCGGGCCGCCTCCTTCGTCGGCCCCGCCGGTGGTGCCGGCGCTGCTGCCGCTGCCGCTGCTGCCGTTGTCGCGGGGCGCGTAGATGTGGTGGCCCACGGTGAGGCCGGTGTGGCGGAGCTCCTGGTAGACGCCCTCGATGGTGAAGTAGAAAGGCCGGTCGTCACTCTTGCGGTCCACGTAGAGGAGGGCGGCGCGAGAGCTCCAGTTGAAGTGCTCGTGCAGGTGGGCCACGAAGACGCCCAGCTTGGGGGCCGAGGGCCCGGTGCGCACCAGCGTGCTGTAGTGCTCCTTCTTGTGGCTGAAGTCGAAGGCCACGGCGCCGGCGGTGAGGAGCGGCAGGCGCCAGTGCGAGGCGAAGCGAGCCACCGAGGCGGCCGGGTAGACGCAGCCGGGCCCGAGCAGCACGTCCGGGTCGTGGTAGAGCTTCAGGTCCACCGCCTTGAGCGGCGCCACCGACTCCGAGCAGGCGCCGTTCAGCTCCGACGTGGCGAACACGGTGCGCATGGACAGCCCTGCGGCCCGCAGCGCCGGCTCCAGAGCCTCCAGCGCCAGGTCCACGGCGGGCCCCACGCGCGGCCAGGCCCACGGGTAGCTCGGGTTGTGCTCGGGCAGCACAGCACC